AGACGGGATTGATACCTGAAATCTTTTCGATAAAAATCAAAGAAAAAATTTCGAATGTATCAGAAGATAGTATAAGACACACATTTACGATTTACTAAGGATAAGACAACTTTCAAACAACTTTGCATGTGTTTTGGTTCATGTTATTAAGAGTCCGCCTTCCTATCGAGAGCCAGATTTGGTAAAATGGCGTCATTCGGTAGCGTCCAGTGACGTCTCTTCAAAGTCGAATTTCTACAGGAAAGCTACCACTCTGAATGTCCGGCAAGACATTTTTTGAAAACTTAATAGATAAACTTTCATGTTGGACAGGTTTCGCTTATTCTCCTGAGATGAGTATTAGACCCAAATTTTCGGGTCCTAGGTGATGGACTATATGCCGATGAACCCTTAGCTGATGAAGAATGGATAAAAAAGTACCAAGAAGAAGTTGTTGAAACAAATAAGCTAGAGCACGAACTACGGGAAAGACTTGAAGGGTCAATTCAAGTGGATTCTTGGTGAGTGTCGGCAAATTTGTCGTATGATCGTGTGAAGATCGAAGTAAAAGCTTATGTAAATAATCGAGTACTTGCTTCTTTGGCGGCGTGATTGCTGTAATCTATGATGAGAGTTTGTATGATTCTAGCTACCTTGATTGCTATAGGTGTTCCTGTGGAAACTGCAGCCGTGTTGTCCTTCAGAATTTGAACGAGTGCTACTGCTGACAGGAGCCAGATGGTTGCAAAGAAGCCACCTGTAGCTAAAGAGTTCTTGAAGATATTCAACCCGAAACGGCCTTAAGGTGTATCACACAACATCCTGGTCTTGGTCCTGTCTGCCTTCAAAGTGAAGCTTACGTATGGCTGGCGAACGTGTCAAGACCAAAGCCAAACAGAGATATAGACAAACTGGATCCGAAGAAAGGTGAGATAGTTTTTGTTATGTTTGTGCCCCATTGGAGTCAAATACGATCGACATGGTACACACTCGATTTGAAAACATAAAATTCTTTAATACATCGTCCAGCCGAAATTAAATACTTTTCTTATTGTCTTTTTTTTGTTGTAACAGTTACTTGCGTAGCATTGCTTATAGGGAGTTTTCAAGGCTTGTCTATGGTTTTCTGGGAAACAAGCGAATTCCTCTTCCTGCGTGTGCTTACACGGCAATAAGAAAACAATTTCTCGTCGGCACAGATGAAACCTACACTGGATTCGAACTCGACGAAGATGATTAAGTAAACTTTTCAGGCCTTTTCCTTTGTAAATTATTGTGTTATTAAATTGTTGATCACCTGTTTCACTGTCTGTTTCACTTCATCATTGTTGACGTAAACAGTAGATTCATAATGAACTGTAGCTTTTACCACTATTTTTTTTTTCTTTTGATATACAATTTTATAAATTTGAATAAGCATGTAATAAAAAAGAACTACTGATAATCAACAGGTGGGGTGTTCGCCCGGGGGATACTCACCATAATGGCCTATAAGGGGAGGCTCTGCCCAAAGGGGGTACCTTGCAAATTATTTTTTCTCTAACGTCACCCAGCCCCAGTTAACCGATTTGTGGATTACAAGTTTATTGTTTGATTTAAATTATAAAGTTTTTAACTAGAGCTACCTTTTAGCCCTGGCTAGATCTATATATTACATATGTAAAAGAGAACAAAACGACAGTCAAATTAGTGAAATGCGTTACAGAGATTTTCGTATGACCTTGAAATGACAACGCGAGAACAAAACAGAAACAAACAAACGAAATTTGTTTATCGAACGGATACAAACGCGCGCAGCTCTTGGTTGGTTAAGCTAACGCTCGGGTGAAACAACTTCATGCCCGAAAAATTTCTAGAAATCGATCGACACTTCGCTTTGACGTCATACTGCAACACGATTGGCCAATCGAGCATGCCTTTTTCCATATTAGGGTTTTCTTTGGCGGGATAAAAAAAAAAACAACAACTAGCGAACACTTACCAAAACCATTTTTCAAAGCCTTACGAAAATCGCTCTGGTGTTTACACCTTTATAACAGTGAGAGAGAAATGGTTTCTACTGTGAATGTCGCCGTAATACTCAAACGACATTCTTGATACCCTTTTACAGCACTTGCAATTTCGATACAAGCAGTCTCCTCCAGCGTCTCCTGGATATCATTTCGAGTTCTTGACGCTCTCGACATTTCATTTCAGGTTCACTAAAAACTAGCAGTAATTCGACCTTCAAAAAAAATTTTCCCCAACAACGTGACTATCATGGGGTATTATGCAGATGTGACAATCGTCCTATCAAATCGCTTACAAAGAATTCTGGGGAATCAGGGCCCGGATTAGGGGAACGGTTCACCGTACAAAATTTCCGCAAAATATACACTTGTTTGGTGATAGGGAAATATTTATTTAGCCATTGTTTTCATTATTTCGCTTTTTATCAGTGTTAATATTTCAAAATAAAATCAAACAAACAGGAGTTCGGTAATGGCAAGTTTGATTATTATGGGTACGGACGTGGACCGTTCCGTAATTGAACGCTCGATTTTGTTCGATTGACCAAATTTTATTGTGAGTTCGATTATGTTCCATTACCGAACCTAATCGAACGACTGGTGTTCGATTGGGTTCGATTACCGAACGGTTCGATTAGATACGCCGGGGAGAAAGGACAAAACTATACATTCCAGTTCGGGATGCTCGATGCTCGATGGGAAAAATCCTTAGCTTAAAAGTCCTAGCAGCCACAAACCTAACGCCGAATCCAAGCCAATATGTACTTGCTTCACTTCAGCTCATTAGCCAAGCAATCCGGCCACTGTAACCGACGCCGAGAGGCAGTTTGTTTTCAGAAATCCAAGCAAAAAGAAGCCGAAGAGCCCTGTACATTTTTACCACGACAAAGTCCGCTTGCGTAACCCTGCCTCGTCTACAAACTAAGCCTCACGGGGTTATCACACCGTCACTTGTCATCGATTGGAACAATGCATGATCTCTTGACGAATCGACACGAGGGGAGCCGGAGTTTGAAACAAAAATTGTCCATGAGTAGCCCCGTGAGGCTTAGTTTGTAGACGAGGCAGAGTTACGCAAGCGGGTTTTGCAACGAATGACATTTCTTTCGAACGGGTAGCCCGAGCCGCTCCAAGGGATAACTTTTTTTTTCGAACGGATACCCTGAGCCGTTTGAACCGGTACCAAATGTTTGGAAAAGCCTTTCACAACTATCAGTCACTGTAATTTCGTGTAACCAGGGCTCAAAATAACGGCCGGTCGGGACTGATTGGGGAGTTGACCGGTCAACCTTTCGTGTTGCCGGTCACACTTAAGAGCGCCTGTCCGTAAAAATCAAACATAGCGCGGCAAGGGTGGAAAATTCGATTTCTTTCATATTTTAATTTTTGATAGGTTAGGGTATAACTAAAATCACTGTATGTTTTTTTTTTGGTATGTTGCTATTTACGCGCTATCACTTTGCTGTTTATCTTCGAGATTATCCTCGTCATCAATAAGCAGATCGTTTCATTCCTCTTGTATTCCTACTATTTGAGAAAGTTATGAGGAGGAGAGAGGGCGCTTATTCGACAGGGGCGCTTGTTTGAAATTATGGCCAACGGGGTGAGTGCTTATTCGGGGACGGGCGCTTATTAGAGCGTGGGCCCTTACCGAGGAAATACGGTACACAGATATGTAACAGGTTAAATAAAAAAGAGTTAAAAATGAACGCACAGAAGAGACGACCAAAC